GAAAACTACACAAAAAAACAGTTAATAGAACTTTTACACTTGGTTGATTTTCAACCTGAATATGTTATCGACATCATAGCAATAAAACACGTATTTAATGTTTTACGTTTACCGCCCTATCACTGTATTTTGAACCCCATAGAATTATTATGGTCACAGTTTAAAAATTATTCTCGAGCATATAACTCTTCTCCTAAGTCCACTTCTTCTGTAATTATTGTAGAAAGAAATGCATTTAACTGTATAACTGTTGAAAACTGGAAAAACGCTATTCAACATGTTAAAAAAATTGAAGAGAAATCTATAAGATTTAACAATACAATTAAAAAAATTGAATTAAATTTGGATAATACTGATGATGATAGTGATTATTTCAGAACATGAAATTAGTGAAAGTGATTTAGAAATATAGACGTTTTTAAATTCATTTACCTACATTTCCACAAAATAAATATAGTGAAACATATTCTTTTTAAATTATTACTTAATAATTTTAGTCAAGTTTCAATTTTCAATATATTTTTTAGTTGAACATGTTGTATTTGGAAATAAAACCTTTGTTATTTTTTTTATTTTAATACAAGTTCTCAGCGTGTTATATTTTTTATGTATTTTAAATGTTAATCAAAATCCTATGTACATATTGTAAATAAAGTATTTTTGAAATGAATGAAATGAATGTTATATTTTTTTCAATGCAATTTAGACCATAAAAGGATATTTGTAGAAATCAAATTTAAAAAATTATCTTTAACATTTGAACAAATAACACTCAACCTAAGCCGGCTCTGATCAGCATGTAGGCGAACGATTCAAGAGATTGCCAGATCATTTCGCTCATAACTCATAAAAATCTGCAGATTCCTACTGCCTAAGGTATGCCGATGACCTGGCGATCGTCGTAAGAGGCAAGTTCGCAGGTACAATATCGGAGCGCACACAAACCGCTCTAAACATTGTTGACGAGTGGTGCAGAGAGGAGGAACTAACAGTTAACCCTCACAAAACCACAATAGTCAACTTTACAAAACGAAAAGTACCAACAGGACTAAAGTCATCAGTACTGAAAGGAGTGAAGATTCCATTTGCTCAAGAGGCCAAATACTTGGGAGTCATCTTTGACCACAGGTTAACATGAAATCAACACTTGCAAAAGAGCACAACATCCTTCAACTTATGTCGAAGGTTGTGTGGAAAAAATTGGTGACTACAACCGAAAATGTCCCTATGGTTATATACCAAAGTCATAAGTCCGATGATAACCTACGGGTCGGTGGTATGGTGGCCAAAGACTCATTTCAAAGGCAAGCATGCCTAAGTACCACGGGAGCTATGAGAACAACTCCAACAGCAGCTATAGAAGTCATGCTAAACCTAACACCACTACATATATTCATTCAAGGCGAAGCCAGGTCTGTCACATACATAAAGGTTCATCACCCATAAGCAGTTTGTATGGACGTGACTACAGCGAGCTATTTAAAGAGTTGGAGAACGACCAAATAATGGGAATGTCTTCAGATGAAATGCTCCAAAAGTATAGCTTTCAAAAGTAATATAAAGTAAGTATACCAGGCAGGGAAGCATGGACAGGAGGACCTCCTATTCATGCAGAATTTACCTAGTATACAGACGGCTCCAAAACCCATGAAGGTTCAGGAGTAGTTATATATAGTACCAAGCCAAAGACAAGAATCTCACTTAGCTTAGGTAAACATGCGACAGTATTCCAGGTAGAAATAGCAGCAATACATCACTGCGCAAAAGAGGTATTAAGACAGAAGGTAAATGGAAAAACCATTGTCATATACTCAGACAGTCAAGCGACGTTAAAGGCACTCAGTTCCATGCTGGTGCACTCAAAGCTTGTGTAAGCTGTTTGTAAGCCCTAACAGAGCTGGGTAGTCAAAACAAACAGCCTATGTACCAGGCCACAGAGGACATAGGGGCAATGAAGAGGCTGATTTACTAGCCCGAGAAGGAGCCTCAAAGGCTCTTATTGGCCCAGAACTCTTCTGAGGTGTAACAAAAACAAGTATCAGAACATGCACAAAGCAGTGGATGTTTAAAAAATCTCAGGAGTGGTGAAAAAACTCTCCAGGACAGAGACAGGCCAAAGAGTTCATAAAAGGACCATCGCCTAAACTCACCGAGCATCTACTAAGCCTTAATGGGAAAAATACTAGGGTACTAGTAGGTCTGTTAACAGGGCATTGTAGGCTTAACAAACATATGTAAAATATCGGAGGAGGAAACGGCAGTACACGTATTGTACTACTGCGAAGGTCTAGCAAGACTGAGATTCTTTACACTTGAAGAAGAAAAACCAAGGGCAACTAGCTATACCGGAGAACTACTTCCCAGTCTATGGAGTCTACTACAAAAGACCGAATTAGACAAGTTACTCTAAATAACGATTCAAGGATATCCACAATAGATCTGAAAAGGTCGAGGTGGGGGAGGCCACATGGCCCACAGTCCTAATTAAATCTAATACGTCACACCTTCGATGACCAACTGGAATAGGATTTTTAGGCGGTAAACACGCAGAAACCCTACTTCAATATTGTTTTAGATGGTGACATATGGAGTAGGAATATTTACTTAGTACGTGGACGGGTCCCCGAACGACAATACAGAATGTTTCGCAAGAAAAAAATGTAAATTTAAAGTACTTACCGCAAATTTTCTAAATATTCTGTTAATAAAAATATGTATAGTTAATCAGTTCTATTAACCTACATAATACCGCCATGCAAAAAATGAAATAATAATTATTCTTAAACATATTTTAAAAACTCACCATTTGAAGCTACGCACTCCTCCTAAAACAAGGTATAAGAAATGTCAATATAAATAAAATGAATCATAAAGTAAATATGTACTTTATAATTTGTTTGCAGAAGAAGCTAAATTTAATTCAAAAGTCTTACTATTTTCTGGCGCTCAATCTTCCTTTACTCTCTGTCAAATTTATTTTTCCCGTATTTCTAAGCGCTTCTCCGATTAAATTGCATCCGGATGAATCTTCTTTACCCGACGACATTAATGATCATCGTATCATGTTCAATTTTATATCAATCCTTCGATACGTCTCGATGTATCTCCGGGCAGTATATCTGCAGCCTTGTCCATTTGATCCTAGAAGGTACATCTTAAGACAGTATAATGTAAATCAAAGATCTACATTAAACATCAAAGGACATATAATCTAAGATTAAATGTCTTTATTGTCAGAGGTAAAATGAACATGAACTCAAACCGTTGATATCGTGCTACCGATTAACTCGAGAAATTTGCGGCGATTTTGTTGCGGAGATTTGCTGAAAATAAAAATATATAAAATTAATAGAAAATTTTTTAAATGTGAAATATGGGAGGTTACTTATAGAAGGAATATAAAAAAATTCAGCATCAAATAAGTATTAATTTATTTAATACTTTATCGAAAAATAATGTTCATTTTAATATTCTTAATAACTATTTCTTTCTAAAACCTGCCACCCTACCGAAGTGCCACCTCTACCCTCCCTATACTACTCTACTGTTTTGCCATACAACCTCAAAAATCTTACTAAAAGTTCAAATGATGACTTTCCTGTAAAGTTATCAAAAATATTGAGTATGGCCCATCCAATCAAAACGTATTTAGAATATGAATTAATGATAAAATGTATTAAAAACATTTTTCTTATTATTATCTTCATTTCCAACAAAATTTTTAAAAAATTCACATTCTTTACTTTTCCTCAAAGGACCCCGCACTTATGTAAAGTGGCCACCGCTTAACTTTTCTGAAACTTTGATATATTTTTGTACTCAACCTAGTAACCAAAAGTGATCATGGACTCAACTGAATCATATGACTAGTTTTCGAGATGAGGGGTATTAAGCTAATATTTGGGAAGGCGAGACCGAGGCCGTCTTCAGGCAGCAAGCAGCAAATGCTGCCGTGCTAAAAGTGCTGTCGTACGTCGCGCCGTCCCAAATGTGTTTCATATAATTACACGTGTTCAGACCATTTTAGATCTCCTTCGCTGTCGCTTTACTCGGTCTCGCCTTCCCAAATGGTACCTTTTAAGTTGAATTTTTTTTTTTATTTTTATTATTATATTTACGAGCTTGATTGAATTTTTGAATTTAATTAATTAATTGAACGTAAAAATGTAAGCTCTTAAAGGTGATAGAAAACCTTGGATATGAGTTGGATCAGAGGCAAGAGATCCAAGAAGACAAATAAAATGGAGAAAATTTGGATCTTATAAAATGTCAGTTATCAAGACAATAGCAGATGTGAAGCTTCCAGAGTGTTTGGCATCAAGATTGAGGTGTAGCTTCTGGATTAAGTAGTGGTACAGAGATTGCATCTGCAATAGAAATGTTGATGTAAGTGGAAGTTTTTTTTTGGATTTATGGCCTAAGTGTATAAACTAGGGTGGAGCAAAAAAAAATTTTATTTGCATGATGTAATAGTTATCTTTAGGATCACATATTAAGCATATCAATGTTTGTTTAAATCGCTTTATTTTTAGAGGGTCCGCCATGTCCACTAATATTAGACCAGAAGTTTAAAATTGAAACTTTTTAAAATTTTTATATTCCTGTATTCTTTGCGTGGAAATTTTACTAATAGCAATAATTATATTAAGGTTAGTCGTATAAACCATACTATTAAAACTAGTAACTGTGATCACTGATTTATAGGGTGCGTTCCTGTCGTAAGTGAAAGAGTAAGAGTTAGTAGACGCTTGGGCCATTGCCACGGACCATTAGCTTCTATTTTCTTTTTCTTTAGTACCGATAAGCTTACTGCGTTGTGAAGATCGTGTATGTTTTATTTCCTGCTACTTACGTACTTGAGGTGTATTGTTACTCAAAATTAGTTTCTTTTTAAAGTTAAAATGGCTGGTGCCGTAAAAGTTCGAACCAAAACTTAATGTCCAATCTCTGGACCAGGCAAAGACTTTGATGAACGCGTTTTGCCCACATATTTAGATGTTATGAAGTGTTATATCAAAGTGCGTGATAAACCTATGCCTAATATTAATTCAAAAGACCCAAATTTTAACGAAATTTCTCAAATTGTCGTAACAAAAGTTCAAAATATATGGAAAAAGGCTTCAATTCCAGTTGTAACTTTTACTCGTGCTTATCAAATGCTAAAAGAATACCACAAGAAATATATGAACTTGAAAAAATCCAGTCATCGAAAAGATTTATTCAAACGCAAAGCAGAACTGTTTATAAGTAACGCAAAAGCGAAGCTTTTTGATTTAGCCATCTGTAAATGTGCTGATTTTTCTACTTGTCATTGTGAAAAAAACGAAAAAATTCCTCAAATTGAACAAGCTTTTGTAGAAGATCAGAAAACTGTCAGAAAAATGATTATTGGCAGTATTGATCAAAAAACTACGATCAAATTATTGACAAGAGAACAACGGAAGGTAAAAGGAAAAACGGTTCAAGAAACAACACAAAATTTTATGTCTCTTGATTCAATAGACTATTACAATGTTTTGGAAGTTACCCCTGATCCTGATGATGATGATTTTGAAAAGAGTCTATCGACTTACCAAAGAGTTGTTTTAGAAAAAAAAATGCAGCATGCAGCAACAACTTCCAACGAAACTAGCAACCTATCATAGAAAGACCCGTCCACTTCAACCTCAAAAGTACAAATGAGAACAACTTTATCAACACTTGCTACAAAGAATACTAGTAAAATAATAGATAGTTTCAAAATTCGAAGAGAGCGAGAAAAATTTAGAGAATCGGTACAAAAAGAAGAAAAACTGCCAGTTTTGAAATCAGTTTACTTTGATGGGCGGAAAGACCGGACGTTGAAGATGGAAAAAATTGACGACAGGGTTCATAAAAGAAGTATTGTTGAAAAACATTTAGTTCTTATTGAAGAACCTTTATCCAAATATATAGGACACGTCGTTCCCGATTCCAGCACTGCAGTAAAATGTGCACGAAGTATTATAGATTACTTAGCAGATAAATTCGATTTATCGAAGCTTATGGCTTTAGGATGTGATGGCACCCCTACCCATACTGGTGCAAAAGGTGGAATAATTTGGATTATCAAGCCGAGACTAAGATGATCACTTTACTGGTTTGTGTGCCAATTACACGGAAACGAACTTACTTTGCGGCACTTGTTTCAGAATTTAGATGGACGAACAACAGGCCCAAAAGTGTTAGTGGACCAATTGGCATTTTATTACAGAAATGTGAAACTTTCTCCTTGATCAAATACAAATTTATTAAAATAGAAGTAGATCTACCTTCGTTTGATGTTAAAAATCTAAGTACCGATCAGATACCTGTTGGAAATTTGTTATGCAGTTGTAAACGACGTATGTCTAACTGAATTAGCCAATAAATCCCCTGGAAAGCTAAATCATGCTCACTGGTTAACATTTGCCAATCGTATATTAAGATTGTATGTTGGAACTGAAAACCCATCACAAAATTTGGTAGTCTTAATGGAATATGTTGTGAAAGTGTATGCCCCAATTTGGTTCACTATAAAGAAAAATAATGTTTGCTCTGATAGTGCACAAAATCTTTGGAAACTTAATAAATATTCTAGATTTATGAAAAAATCATATTTAAAGTTCATAGATCCTGTCATTTAGCGCAATGCTTTTTTTGCACATTCAGAGAACATTCTTCTGGCTATGGTAACAGATCCAAGAGAACAAATTAGGGAACTGCGATTGCCAAGGATACTAAAAGCAAGAAAAATTGCATCCCAAGAAAGTAAATCAAGTGTTCGGATCTTTAAAATACTAACAATTAACTTTGAAGCAAATGATTACACGGAGATGATTAACTGACAGACCTAACGATAACCGAACCACAGTCTTTTCGTAATATAACAGACGCAGATCTACAAGACGCGATTCGGATCAAAAGAATGTTTGAGATCCCGAAATTTCCTTGCCACACCCAAGCAGTGGAACGAGGCATTAAGCTTGTAACTAAGGTAAGTAGACCCAGTAGACGAGATGGCTTTATAAAAGCCAAACTAACGTCCCAAATTTTAATGCCATCTTTTGAAACCAAAAAAGAATATAAATTTATTAATTGTCAATCACTTTTAAGATCGTGAATTAATTTAAGATCCTAGCATCGGTTGGAAGGTTGGGCTGGGATGCGGTGGAGCTCTATAAGCAGTCACCTCCACGTGGTGAGCTCTGGGTTACTTTGTTTTTATTTAAACAAAGTAAGCAAGGAACTGCTTGAATATATTATTATTTTGTTTAAACTCTAATTTTGTTATGTAGGGATATTTATTATCCAAAGTTTTTTTACTATTAGTTAAAGGAGTAGTTGTTTTCCAAAGGGAATCGGTCGTATTTTGTGTGACATATGGCTTTATTTTATTTATTTAATTTTAATTTATAAAGTATTTAGGTTAGGTTGAGAATTTCAGTTTGTCACTATCTTCACTATCATTCTTGAGTGATCGAGTGAATGAGTCGTAGCAAAAATTATGCATGTAAGTGGGCGCCAGGAGTTTACTCACATCCAACAATCCCAAGTAGCGGTCCACTATAAAAACCAAAATAGCCAAACAAAATGTATCTCCTCTACGAAGGCTCTCAAGCGGCTACATAGTATGAGAGCCCACTGCAAATTTCGACCGTCATCTGATAACGAAATCAAATATGCTCCAAAGGCATGTAACAACATTGTACTTTACCAAATTGCACCTGTGCCAATCCCTATCCTGAGCAAAGTGTTTAAAAAAAATTATTTTATATTCAAAAAATCACATAAAACATGACAGCGACAATTATGTTTTCCCTGAAAATTACAATCCTAATTCATTGTGAACCTAGCTTTTAAACCTGAATTTTTAATATTTTTACCTACCTTTTAAACCATGTTTATGTATGAAAGAAAGAAGGATGACACTGTATAAAGCATTTGCAGAGATAGTCAATAATAATTATAAACTCTTGTTAGACAATTATTATTTTAAACCATAATCATAGTAGTTTTTTTGTCGTTTCTATGGCAACCTTTAAAAATGAGTCACAACAATAGGCATACAAATAAATTTTTAAATCAGCAAACATTGATTCATATTTTTAATGATATTTACCTACTAATCGTGGATAGATGTTTTTGTGAGATGTTAAGAGGAAGAAAATGTTTCCCTTTAACGATATATATCAAGATATATTTGAATGTAATTTTTGGAAAACTTTAAGGGCAAACAAAATTAGCGCTGTCGTGCCTTATGTGATTATTTTAATATAAAATAATTTTTTTAAACCACTTTGCTCAGGATTGGGATTAACACAGGTACCATTTGGTAAAGTACAATGTTTTTCCATGCTTCTGAGGTATATTTCATTTCGTTATCAGATGACGGTAAAAATTTGCAGTGGGCTCTTGGGCTAACAGTATTCTCCTACTATTATAAACCGTAACCTTACCATAAATTCTATTACCTAACCTGATTATGTAATCAAACAGACAATTAGCAAGTTAGGATGAAATGACAAGAGAATTTCAATTATATACCCAGGTTTAATAACATAAGTTATTCACGTGGTGACATGGGGTCAACCTCGTTTACACATAGAAAAATAAATTCAATATTTTTACAACTAGTGTCAATTATTAGATTAATTATTCCCAGCTATTTAAAAATAAATTCAGTATCACTGGAAGTATTATGTAATACCTAAACACTAAATGGGACTAGGGGTAATCTTAAAACGGAAACACATGAGGTATATAACGTATGTATTAACATAAATAAATAAATAATCATCTATTTACGGATGCTAGAGGTAAAAGCGAATAAATCTCTGTTATTTATTACAATTATTGGTCATCCATAAATAATATACCCCATGAAGAGCTTTTGGTGACGTTTTGGTTTTAATAAAATCTACTGTAAATCATACACCCCTAAACCTCGTTTACATTAAGTTTAGTTATGTACTAATACCCTCCAATAAAAGTAGGTTAAAAATAGTAATATAAAAGTGATTATGCCAAAACACAAGCAATCCACACACTGGTGCAGTTTAAACAAAGGTTTCGAAATATCCCAATTATGGATGGAAAAGGCTCCGCTAATAAAATTCGAAACACCCTTTTCAAAAACCCACCTGTCGTTTCCTCAAATCGACGATGAATCGTGACTTCCAAAAACTACCAATACCAATCTATTATGCGGAAAATAAACGTCCCCGAAATAAATCCTTGACGGAAAGGGTTAAAATAAACGAACAAACCTCTAAAACAAAATAAATATCCCATCCTTAGATCCAGCTCAATCTGAATATATACCAACAGTTACCGTCTTGGTGGAAACACAAGACAGACAACTGGAATACAGGACCAGAGTGTTTCAAACAACCTTGCCACTATGAAAAAGGACTCACGAAAAATCGCCTTCGAGAGTCAGTTGATAGAAATTACCAATGAACTGGAGTGGGGTAGAATACGAATGTGCATACTGTATCAATAGAACAAGATGCGACTCTGTAGGCGCAGCCATTTTTATTGCTCATCTCACTCAGGAGTATTTATATTAATGATTTTCTGGTTCACATTTTTATTGACCAGTCCACAAGCTGGTGGATCAGACAATAACAATGTGAAATACACAATAGTTATTATAAATACTCCCGAGTGAGATGAATAATAACCTGTCTGCACCCATAGAGTCGCATCTCAAGCCTACTGATAAGCATTCTAGCCCACTCCAGTTCATTGGAAATGACACACATCAGCCGATCGCCTGTTTTCAACCAAATATAGGTCAAACACTGTATTTTTTTTACATATTTGTCATTATTCACTAAAACAAATTTGTTTAATGAATTTTTTTTGAAAAAGTTTTTCCTCCTCTCTTTTATTCCACACCCTCTATAATGTAGATATTTATAAAACAGTTCGAAAAGGTAAAAATAAAAAAGTTTTTTCCCCCTCTTTTTCAGTTCACACCCCTTAAAATGATGTGTATATCGATATATTTTGTAAGTAATTATAAAACAGTTAGATTACACTGCATATTTTAAAATCTTATGGTTACATACGTAATGTAATGTTATTAACTTACTCAAAAGTCATTAAAGAAATGCAAGGTATCGTTTTAATAATTTCCAAACATAATTATTTTTGGTGGTTGCCTGCATGGCTCTCCCTGTATAAAAGGTGCACATAGCGAAATCTTTTAACCTTAAAATTGTGAACGAGTGGATATTAACTTAAACTAAAATCAACAATTCTCCACTTTAAGACCCTGTATATCGTAAAACGTTACATGTTTGACGAAGGATTTTTTTGTATTTGTATTTTTCTTAAAATAGAATACCTTCTAACAAATAAATCACCTCGTATATTTTGAAGCTTAGATGTACACAAATTTTAGTGGTATTACCTTTCCCAAAAAGGTTTTGAATTAACTCTTATAAAAAAAAATGTTATATTGTGGTTCTCTCTATAAAACACCCTGTATAAGACATGTGTACTGTACAATATTTTGTCGCCAAAATACCATAGGAGTATTACTTTTTGAAAATATGCTTCACTGACAGTAGAATTAGCGAGATTTTTCAAAAAAACTACCGTTAGATATGTGTGTACTATTATATTACTAAAACATATTGTAAACGTGTGTACGAGTATAAAACAGAAATTCAAGCTAGCTCATGAAGTTTGAAAAAAAAATCCGAAAACTGCTTAACTTTAATTCCTATAATATTTTTAATGGATACAGGAAAGTAAAAATTATAAAAGAACAATATTTTTATTATTAAAATTCAAAAATCTTACTAAAAAATGTATTTTTTTCGATGTAGGCATATTAAATTAGTAAAAACAAGTAAGTTCTATTGTTCAACAGCTTTGAGAAACGCTTCATACTTTTATATTTTTAACAATTCTACTTAGATCCTATTGAAATGTTATTGAGTCATCCACAAAAAAAGAAAAAACTAGTTTATCAAAATGAAATAAAATTTAGAAATCGGAAACGGGCAATAAATTCAAAAATGGAATAAAAATATTCGATAATTTTTACACAACGTTTTACACAGCGTCATATCATATGTCAAAGATTCGGCATTCT